GCTGCCGGCGGAAATTCTGTTAATTTCACAGCGGCGGTTCGCGCAACCACGGGAAACGGAGTTCGGCCGTCGCGGGGCTCATCCGTTGGATCCTCGAGCACCTACGATCCTCCTCCTCCTCCTCCTCCAGCATCCACTAAACACGTAGAAGCTCGACGAGCCGCGCCACTAGCCCACGTACACGCGCGGCAGCCCGCGGAAGAAGTTCGCCGAGCTCGTTACACGAGCTGGTATCAGCGCGGCCGCGAACTCGACCCGGATCGGCCGGAGTTCCGCGCTCGGACGGCCCGCACTTTTCTCGTTTCGGCCCGGTATTAAATCGCGAGCCCCGCCTTTGCGCGGTAAACATCCTGCATCCGCTCGAAACGGTGTCGCGAACGGAACGGTGGAGCGCGCAGAGAGACTGGGCCAAGTCGATACGTTTCTCGTGCTTTGACCCTTAACGGACTGGAAGTATTTCGAGTTTACCAGCACGGAGCGAGCTAGCGCGATATTTGATGCGTTCATTGTGAATGTTACAACGGTAACAGTGACAAGGGATGCACGCATACTCGGTACTTGGAAAATCCCGTATCAACTTACTCTAGCCTCCCCTGTTCCCGGTTTCCTTTCTACACGCTCGCCCTCTTCTAATATCCCGCGTCTTTTAATCTGCAACCCTCCCGTCCGACTTTCGTCCTCGCAGCGTTCTTTCCAGTTTTTTCGAAATCTCTGACTCCGCGGCTCTCCGGATGCCGATACGCCCCGTCTCGCTCGGCGCCTCGTTTCCCGACGAGCCGTCTCTCCGTCTCACCGGCAACCCTTTGCCCGTTTACCTGGGCTTTCTCCCTTTCCTCCGCCTCTGCCCCTCGGTGCTTTTGTCTCGCCAGCCCGGTCGCCCCGTTTACTCACTGCCGCGAGTCGCGCGAGTAGTGTACACAGCTTTTAACCCGGATTCGGGATTCGCAAGACGGCGACTCGCCGGGCGACACGTAGCCACGCGCCGGGAAACGTTTTAACGGTCGCAGTTCGGAAGCCGAAAATTCGGCTCGCGAGTCGCGGGGAAAGAAAGGGGAAGACACGGGGAAGCGGCGAGCGGCGCGGAATCGCGGACAGCGACGTGGATTTTGAATTTTTCACAACTCCCGGGCTTCGTAACATTTGAAAAGCTGCGGAGGAGCCGGGGCTCGCTCCATTTTCCTTTGTTCCGCGGCGAAAGCGGAGGACCGGGGGGAAGTATTGTTCCGGCGGAGTCTCCAGACCCGGTGCCGCGGCGGTTTTTCACGCGGAATGTACGGCCACGGGTAATCCGAACGCGGCCGCGCGATAAATTATGCAAATCGCGGCAATCTTCCCCGCCGTCCCGCCCCCGGGCCGCGATCAACCGACGACCGCGCGAAGGCGACGTCCATTATCGGAGGTTCCGGCGCGCCGGCGGCCGCGGGGGCAATTATGCGGTATTAAATTATCGAGCGACCGGTTCGGAGAGTCGCGTCGATCGGTTTCCCCCGTGAGAACGTCCGGTCGTGATTTCGTTCCGAGGACGCGAGCGTTTTTCCCTTTGAATTTCAACGGAATCCCCATTTCGCGGGTCAGCGATACGTTTTTTTCCCGCTCGCCGATCCCTTTGCGAGCCGCAGTTTCGCCGGAAGTTTCATCGCTGGGCTTATCGCAACGCGTCCGCGTTACCTTGTTCCTTTTCTGCGCCGCGGGCGCGGCGGCCGGGAAGTCCGGCGAACTCGAACGGGCGGCGATCAGCGTGCAGAATTTCGCCCGCCGCGGGCTAGGGAAGCGCGGAAATCGTTACGTTAATTAAGCGGTCGCCGCTGCGAAGCTGAATCGAGCCGGTGTCACGGTGTGAGTCTTAGGAATTTAATGGGGAAAAATCCTGCGCTCCTTCGCCTAGGTCGAACGACCAACCTAGGTATCTTATCCTATGTCGTCGCGATCAGAGTTCACCTGAACGATTGGTCGTCCTTCGTATTCTCGAAATATACCATCATCGAGGTCCACAAAATCAACGGTGTTTCGTTACTCGCGCAACCCAATCGTAAAATTATTAACCGTTTAGCCTCGATCGACGAATTGCTCGTCTCCGCGTCGCGCTTCTTCGCCGGGGGAGCCGGAACACACGGATCCGATAGTCTGACGGAAACTCGATCGAAACGAACCGTCGCGGAACGACGGAACGGTGAACTCTCGGCCGAACAATGCGCGTCGCGTCGAAAGTTCCAGCGGCGCGCGGCGTAAAAACGGAAACCAGGGGATCCGGGCTCCGCGCGGAGAAATCGGAGCGCCCGCTATTTCATCCCCTTCCCGCTCCCTCTTCCGGCGAGCACGTTCCTCGAGTTTTTCCCCGTTCCGATGACTCCGGGGAACCTGACGTTATTAAATCGAACGGAATACTTATCGGCTCCCCATCGATCCGGGGCCGGAGAGAGCGCGCACAAGTGTCCATGCTAATTGGCCCGGATAGTTTTTGCGGGGCGACCTTGTCTGCCGGGTCAACGGCGGGTATCGCGGCCGAGAGAGATTCGTTCGAGAGGACCGGGAAGCTACAGGGCAGGAAACAACGATTAATTCGCCGAGCATCGACCCGGGCAAACTGTTAATTCCGAGAGTTGTTCGGTCTCGTTACGTTCAACTGTCTTATTACAACAGCCGCCGGTTATATACACCGCCTGCGAACTCCAACTCTCCTGCCGTGTGCACTTGACTTGCTCGCACGATACTTTGGAAGAATATCGTACGTTAGCCGAGACATCGTGCGGTAGTGGGAGAGAGCAACGAAGAGAGAAAGTTCTTTTCTTCTTTCGGAATGATCGGTGAGCTGTGGATGGTTAATCGTTTAATTCTGTCGAATGGAATTATTTGGAAGCTGCTTAGTGTTGTAAGAATAAATTTCGTTTGAAAGATCCTTCTGTGGGATAAGTAGCTTATGAGTAGGTTTAGGTAATGCAGTTGAATTGATTAATATTTCGTAGAATTGGTTGTTGCGGATGTCTTACCTTTCGCGTGGGGATATCCTATGGTCGATCGACGCTCTGCCTGCCGGACTTGCACCCATGAAAATCCTGGAAAAACAAGATAAAAAATATAAACTTAGCGAAACTTGATTCGTCGAGATTGATCGTGGAGATTAGATTTGACGTTTCTGCACGGCACCGATCTTAAGGAACTTTGGCTCGCTCGATAAATCACGGTGGAAATGAATTTTTACGTCTGCAGGGAGATTTATGAAATCCATAAACGACTCGGATATGCGAGTGAAAGCGTTGAGAAAGGCACGATGGAAATGCACCGCGCAGTATCACGTTTCCACAAACGTTAATCTGTTTTTTGTGTATTTATTTCATTCCCGAAGAGGCTCCGCAGTCGTGCCGCTGGTAAATACAGATGTTGTCGCCGCACACGTGTGTCCATACAAAAAAACCCATAATATTTGCTTTATTTTAATGCCACGGAACTCAGCGTTCGCCAGACGGAGATGCTTCTGTTCGGCCAAACATAAATAGTCCGAATTCAAATAAACGGGCAATTAACTCTGCTGTGTTCTTTAGACCTGTTCCACCCAAACGCGTTTTCATTTTCTCAGCGGTAATTTGTTCGCCCGAACATCTCTGATATACTCCCGTTCTCATTTTGCTAGCGATATTTTTCACTCGGGAACAGTACAAGAAAATTATAACTAGACCACGCGTTCTCGTTTCCTTAAACAGCAACTGTTTTGTTTTAATATTCTACAAATTGATGCATTACACTTTCGCTATACCAAACCAAGTGGCGACTAAGAGTCATCTCACGAGAAGAAATTACTAATAACGCGTGAAATGCACAGAAAACCGAGGACCAAATCACGATTGAAAACTGCAAACGAAACATACAAGCGACAGAACGATCGTAAACACTGTTCTTAAACGTAAATAACACGAAACCCGCGAAAAGAAGCGTGTTCATTGAATAAGCTTCTAATGGCTGCACGCAGCGAGATGGAATTGGTCCCCAATATCGAATAACAACGGGGCCGTCTCTCTCGTTACCGGCGCCAGATCGATCCCATTCGAGATGCGTGTAACGAGAGACCGCCGACATAAAGCAACTGTTCGAGCAGGATAAAGGATCCGCGGAAGACTCGCGCATCGTCGAACGAGCTGCCGGAATCGCGGGGAACGTTGAAAAATGGCGAAAAGCACGATGACGTTTACGTTCGATTCTTCCCCGAGCCCGTCGAACGCGAAATCACGGGACTCGCGTTTCGTTTGAAAAACGATCGCGGTTCTGTTACCGTTTTGTTCTCCCCGTGGATGTGAACAGGCCGCCCGCCAGCAATCGATACCTCGCCGACGGGGAAAAGAAACAGGACGATAGTTGTAACAGATTTTATACCCGGCGACGGCACTGTAGACACCGACCACTTGGAATACCGTGGCTCCGGGGAAAGAAGAAATCTGATGACCCGGATTTCTTCATTGATTAGACCAGACGTACGTCGAGTAAACGAAACAGCCGGATATCGGTTCCGTGGACCAAAGGACGGGTAAGTCGCCGATTGGACCCGGTTAAATCGAGCTCGAAACTTTTCGGGGATGATCGAGATTAATTGCACCTGTTCCGGCGCAAGTGGGACGCTCCGTATAATTTCGCGCTTCTATTCAAGGCGAACTAGAGTCTCGGGTTATTTCTGACACTCGGTATGTTACGAGAAGGGATGGGAATAATCATTAACCCTTTGCGCTTGAAAGTCGCCACTTGATTCGATAGGGTGAGGTTATAAAGTTCGATGTGCAATATCAAGCTGCGCGAAATAATGAAGCGAAATAACTTTGCTCTTTAACTCCCGAAGACGCTTTCGCGAGAAATCGCGGAACAAACAACGATGAAAGCTACGGATCCCGGGAAATACACTTTTATAATTTCTACAAGAATAAACAAGTTAGCCCAATTCTGTGGTAGTTCTAGCGTCAAACTTCGACTCGGTATATTCGAAAAAATTCATCGAGCGAGAAGACGGAAACGCATAAGAACAAAGGCGCAGCCGCTACAGTTTTCACAATTAAACCGTAATTGAACTTTTCAGTCGGCCGAGAGCGAGGGAACCGGAGGCGAATCCCGCTCGGACACGACGGTCCGCGAAGTTGACGGGATTTCAATTAGCAAATCCGCCGTTTGAAAGCTATTTATTTTCGTTCCGCCTTCGGTACGTCTCGAAAACTTTCCGGGCGGGATAAAAAAAAAGTTATAAACTTGACAGTCTTATCTTCCCGCGGGGAAAGTCTCGAGTGGCCCGGGGGCGGGATGGTTAATCAAACAGGCATCGGAAGGGATTACAGCCCGGGCGAATTGAACACTTTAAACACACCTCGAAGTTTAACGCCCCATTGTTCGGGCGAGCCACGCAACCGGCGCGTTCCACGGGAAAAGGATTCTCTCGGCGGTATCGCGGGAGGATCGATACGAGGCCGAAGCGTCGCGTTTGTAGGCGCCGGGAATCGGGATCACTGGAGCAGCGTTCCGCGAACGGAACCGGGTAATACGATTCGGTCGCGTACCGCGCGATTTATTCCCGCGCCGCGATGGAATCGTCGACACGGCGAACCGGCGACGTGTACACGCGCGCCGGTAAGTATATACACCGTGCGCACGTTTCTACCTGTTTTTCTTTTTCCTTTTTCTTCCTTTCCTTTTCCTTTCTTCCTTTTTCTTTCCTCTTTTTTTTTCGTTGCCGGTGTGTTCCACTCGTCGGAACAAAGCGAGGGAAACAAAAGCGACTAGCATTTTGCTGGCAAAGGTAAAGGGGTGAAACGGCGCGGCGACCAGCGTTGTTTTCTTGCTCGCTATATTTCCAGCCGCTTTATGCGCCCGAGAGCTTTCCCCGCGACATACAAGGGCTCGATAACGATTAATAATTTTTTCATCGCGCCTTCACCCGTGCCAGCCAGCCGGCAGAGATCTCAAAGGGAGATAGCGACGGCCGCCTTTGCCGTCGCGCGCACGGGAAAATCTTCCCGAGTGTTTTTACCGTTGAAACATCCTGCTCCGAGGAATCATCGGTCCCCGGATAACCTATGAAACATTCAAACGAAATAGCTTCGTTCCTTAATTCAGGCGCGGTGCCTCTTCGGGTTTCAAGAAATATCGTTCATCGGAAACCGTTGAGCGTTTCTAGTAAAAACCCTGTCGATTGCAGAGGGCTAACTCTGTTGGAAGATTCTCATGCAGGTTCGCCGGAATAAATGATAATCGAGGCAATTTCCGGTTCGTTACTTATTCGAGCAACAGTTCGAAGAACGTGTTCACGAATTTAGAGCTCGTCGACCGGTTACCCCGATCCATCCCGTAGCGCCAGGTGGACGGCATATTCCGAAACAAATTCCCTTTTAAACTTTTATCGCGCCCATCCCGCGACACGTTCCAATTTCATTCGTCGGGGCACGGCCGGGAATTTACAGCCGATTCGGTATTACACGTGTACGCTCTAAAATCGAGCCACGCTCCAGTAAACAGCGTCTCGAATGTAGGTTCACGAGGTCCCTGGAACGAGTTCGGAACTCATCCTGCGGTTAAAGTATTCCAGCCGAGTCGATGGCCGACGGACGAGGTCAGATATGCCGGCGGTGGCTCGGCCGCAACTCGTTCTCGCGCTCGCAGCCACCGAACCACCCCCGGCTCACCCCCCGGCGCGGACTTCTCCCTCGCCGACCGCGCCAATTAACTGCAATTTCTTTTTGCCGATCCAGAAAGGAGTGTTTACCCGCGATTACCGTCCGCTGAACAGATTCATTTTCTTCGAACAGTCGATGAACTCGCCGAGTTTTTCACTCGTCGGTCCTCTCTGCTGGAAAATGTCCCTTTTGCTCGCTCGCTCGTCGAGCGGCGCGCCAAATGACAGAACGATCGCGTCGCTGCCGAGGTCGTGTAATTAACGAGCAAAAAGGCGAAAATTCGAGGTGAAAAGGTACAATTATTAGCGAACGTTTCGCGGTCTGTACGTGCTACTCGAATCAGTGATCTCTGGTATTAGATCCACGGACGATGATGTGTGCTATGCAAATTATGCGCACGTCACTTGCGAATTTTCTACGTTCGAATCCAGGGGTATTTCGAAAACTGTTATTTCTACCGATTTGACGTTAGTCGTGCTCCATTTACAGGTCACGAATGCATAGGAAATAGCATCGGGATGAGAACAAGAATAATTCTGGAAGTTTTTGCCCTTAATCCGGTAATCTGGATCAATGTGTGTCGCCGAGCGAATCAGGACCTTCGGCCAAATTCAACCGGCGAAGTTGGCCGGTTTCGGTGAAACGATCGATCACCGGTTTCGGGGGGCGCGATGACGAGCGGAGGAGGGTGGACCGGTTCCCGAGTCCGGGAACCGCTTTGAAATGTGTACCGGGACAAATATGAAGTCGTCGCGAAATCAATGCGGCGACGCGGCTGTCACGGGCCACGTTTGTTTCCCTGCGTGCACGGTCGCCTTGTTAGTGACGTTTATCGAAGCGTCTGTACGGGTTTTTAGCCTGAAGCACTGAAATGGACAGTCGGTTTGAGCGCGTCACAGCAGTGGTAGTAGTAACATTAAAGAAAATAGTAACAATATCATAAAGTTTATAAATTTTAATAATAATAAGAGATCCTCTCGACGTAGATTCGCGTGACGAGTGTTTAGCGAAAAATCAACGCGTTTCGATGGATTATATTCCTCCGCGATCCACTCTCCGTACCAAATCACGTCCCACTCCATCCCCTTCGCCGCGATCAACCAGAAATCTCCTTCCGCGCGTCTCTCCAGATATTTTAAAGAGACAGGGGTTCGCGGAGCGCTTCAGTCACCGTAAACAAGGCCCGCCGGTGCGTGAACGTTTCGGATCCGGAGCAGCCCGGGAAACGTACGGAAGCGGTAAAATATTGGCAAATATTTAAATATGCCGACAGACGTGTATTTACGAGCACACAGCTCGATTTTCTCGCGTCCCCGTCTCCCCCTGCCCCGATCCTCTCCGCTCGCCCCCTGAACACACGACGTGTTGCTTATTCGGGGCAAACACGTTCGCTGCGAGAATAAACAGTGTCC